TTTTTTTTTTTTTTTTTTGGTTTCTGTTCGTGTTTTGCATGAATGAAGGAGAGGAAGAAATTTTTTTTTTATATTAAACGCAAAAACCGTATTCTCAGAATACGTTTACCGACAATTTAATTGTAAAACGTATTCTGAGAATACGGTTTAATAAAAATATTATTTTTTTCAAAAAAAAAATTTTCCTCTTGAAACGTATTTTCATAATACGTTTTGCTTTAAAACGTATTTTCACATTACGTTTTATAAAAATACATTTTAATTATTATTTGCATATTTTTTTTTAAAACATTTTTTTTTTTAAAATTAATTTTACTTTTTTTGTAAAACGTATTCTCGGAATACGTTTTCTTGATTATTTTTTTTTTAAGAAAACGTATTCTGAGAATACGGCTGTTTTGTTTTGGTCCACTCTTTTTTTTTGTCTACATATTTTTTTTTAAAATAAATAAACTATTCATGCATTGCCAGTAATCAATATACTAGTATTCATCCTGTGCACATGCACAAAAAAAATTTATATATTATATGTGTGCATACAATATATAAAAATTTATATTAAATAATAGATGTATTACATTTTAAATTTTGATTATATGAAAATGTGTAATGTAAATATAAATTATTTAACTTACGTATGAATATTTATATTGATGCCATAAATTTTAATGGACAATATAATTTAGTAATCTAGAGGGACTATACATTTAATTAGTTAGAAAAATATTACAAATATTTTATCACTGTTATAGCAGTTGTCTAAATGACTTTAAGGTGTTTAACTATGACACTCATGCCAATTAACTAATATTAGATTAGATAAAAGACAATAATTATTTTATTTTAGAAAAAAAATATTTAAAAAAAAATTGCAATACAATTTCTTATAAGTATGTAACTTCCACATCTATTTAATGTAAAATTATAATAATTTAGTGTTATAGTAATATTATATAATAAATTAGTTTAGAATTGTTATCTATACTTATATTAAAAGCCATACTATTTACCAAAAATAGTAGCAAGAAAGTCAACTCACATTTAATGCATACTTTGTTTAGAAACTTTTTACTATATGCATTAATTGCTTGCATATATACATTTCCTATTCAAATATAATCAAAAAGATTCTTTCTTTAAATAATTTTATTAACTTCTGCAATGATTTTACTGATATATATTATAATCCATATTTGTCGATGGTACTTTTTAATTTTTATTTGAGTATATAAAAAACAAATATTTTTTTTAAATTATTTTTTATTTATCATTTAAGAGATAATGATCACATCATTAAATGATATTACTGATGGCCAGATAATAAATTAAAATACATTAACTATTCTTTAAAATTTTGGCATGTTATTTATTTGTATATATACTTATTATATAAGGTATCCTATTTACCAAATTTAGTAGATTGAAAAGTCAACGTAATTAATGCATTGTTATTTCTATCCAGAATTTTATTTAATTATTTTATTTATTTGTCTTATATCCCATAAATCAGTTTAAGAAAAAAAATCCCATAACATCTGACAAGTAAAAAAAAAAAGACGTAAAATCTTCACTAAAACAAAATGACTTTTATTTATTTGTCTTATTCCATATTAACATTGATTTTATCAAAATAAATCTCATAAAATCAGTGAAGTCAAAATTTGTACGTAAAGTCTATCTATCCAAAAAAAGTCAAATTCAAAATTCCTTATCTAATTACTTCTTTTTCTTATCTAATTCATTTTTTTTCTTATCTATTTTTTTTATTATCTAATTGTATGAAAATCTGTTCTGATTTTGTTCAATCATCTAATTGTATTTGTATTATATTCCATAAAATCGGTTTAATAAAAAAATCCCATAACATCCGATAAGTAAAAAAAAAACAAAGTACGTAAAATCTTTACTAAAATAAAAAAGCTTTATTTATTATCTAATTTATTATCTAATTGTATAGAAATCTGTTCTGATTTTATGGTACGTACTACAAATTGTGCACCCGTGTTCAGGAGCTACTTAACGGGCAAGCTCTGTGGAAATGACTCATTTAGTGCTTATGTCCCGTGCATACGGTATGTATTTTTATTACACATACTAGAAAATTGTGCACCCCGTGCATCGCACGTGCTCTGTACTAATAAATGACTTTAAAATTATGCACCGTGCATCACCCGTGTTCACATTTTGGCCCATTACAGGTCACATACTATATATATCCCGTACATTTTTTTTATTCATTTATATAATTATAAAAATGGATAAATGACCTTAAAATTGTGTACCTCGTGCATCGCACGGGCTCTGTACTAGTTACACTTTATTAATGTAAAATGTAACGTTTTTACATTAATTGAAAAAATGAGCGAGAAAATTATGAAGGTTTTATTAAATGTTTTATTTAATGCATCTGCCAACAATTATATATATATATATATATATATATATATATATATATATATCAATTTTCATAAATTTTTAATTTTAGACACCACTATTTGATCCAGTGGGTCCTACTTCTGAAGCAGATCCATCATCCATTTATTGGAGTGGGTGCACACACGACCGGGCTGCTCTGCTCACACGGGATTCTTCCTCCGGCGTCAGAGAGAGGAAAGCTTGTGCGTCCTTCTTCGTATGGCGGATGACGACGACGATGAGGCGTTCGGAGGGTTCGCGTCCGCCGACACCTCGCAACCAGATTTTCAATTCAAGAGAGGCGCCACCACTAACAACGACGACGACGACGAATGGGGTGATTTCGTGAAATCCCCGCAGCACTCACAGCCGGCCGACCTCTCTTTCACCGGAAATCCCGTTTCCTCACCGCCGGCGTGGGTGAAGCCGAGTGGCGCTTTGCCGCTCTCGATTTTCGGAGATGCTGATGAAGAGGAGGAGGAGAATGATAAATACAGTCATGGTGTCTCCCTGGATTTCAGTCCAGCTTTAGCTCCAAAAGACACGTCAAAGCCTCGGGATCTTGGTATTATCGATATCTATAATGGGTATCCGGAGATCAAGCCTGATAGTGGATCGGATCCCAATTCATCTGGTGGTGCTGATCCCATCGAAAATGGATCCTATTCGAGCTCAATTGGGAATGCGGGTGGCTCAGCTGTTTCTGAGCTGAATAATGCGGGTTTTGATGCGCTAGCGGACAGTAGTGGCTACAACGAGTTCAGTTTGAAGCCTAACGTGCCATCGGATGCAAATTCGAATAGCGACTTGTTCTGGATGCAGGGCTTTACTGGATTTGGCTCTGGTTCGAAATCTGCTATTCCAAGTGTGCAGGAATCTGGTTCGATTTTAGATGCTAATGGTCAAGGGCAGCTGTTGGGCAGTACTGCTAATGCTGTTAATGATGATGGTGATGATGGATGGGAATTTAAGGATGCTTTTTCAAATTTTGGAACTGAAGAAGTGCATAATAAAGTAAGGACTTGTTTTTGTAGCTTCACAATGATGCCAAATTTGCAGCCTTTTTTTAGGGCACTGTTTGGTGTCATTGTTTGTAAGTTGTGCAATTTTTAGGTAATTGTTGTATAGGGATTGCTCATTTGATTTCCAATCCTGACAAAACTTATCTGAAGGTTGAACCAGTGGCGCATGAAGTTTCTGAAAGAAGTTCATACTCATCTGGGCACGGAAGAAGCTCAAAGAAACCAATTGATTTGTTTGGGATTTCAAATGGATCATTGAATCTTTTCGCGACCTCAGCTGAATCTTCTGGTGTTGTTGCTACATCCAGTGGTATTTCTAGCACGTTTCAGGAAGTAGGTTTTGTTGGAATTCAGCCAAATGAGCTTACTTCAGTGGCAAACTCGTTTTTCAATGAAAATGACAATAAAGCCACATTAAATCATATTACAGATGATGGAAGTGAAGAGTTGGATGAAGATTTTGGTGATTTTGCTGCTGCTCCTGCAGAAAATGGACCAAAACCAGGAGTAAGCCAAATTTGCAGCCTTTTTACTGTTTGGTGTCCTTGTTTATAAGTCATGCAGTTTTTAGGTAGTTGTTGTATAAGGTTCTTCATTTGATTTCCAATTCTGACAAAATTTGTCTGAAGGTTGACCCAGAGGCGCATGAAGTTTCTGAAAGAAGTTCATACTCATCTGGGCTCGGAAGAAGCTCAAATAAACCGCTTGATTTGTTTGGGACTTCAAATGGATCACTGAATCTTTTTGCGACCTCAACTGAATCTTCTGGTGTTGTTGCTACGTCCAGTGGTATTTCTAGCACGTTTCAGGATGTAGGCTTTGTTGGAATTCAGCCAAATGAGCTTACTTCAGTGATGAACTTGTTTTTTGATGAAAATAACAATAAAGCCACATTAGATCACATTAAGGATGATGGAAGTGAAGAGTTCGATGAAGATTTTGGTGATTTTACTTCTGCTCCTGCGGAAAATGGACTGAAACCTGGAGTAAGTTGCTGTTTTCTCCAGTTATTTGGTTCTGAATAATTATCGACAATGTTATGTTTAGTAAAGTTGTGTATTTGTCTCAGAAAATCTCTACCAATGGTGTTCTTTATCCTAATGGTGTAGTATCAGCACCAAATAGCAAAGTACAGGTGAAATATTTACTCTTTCACTAGTTAGACCTTCAATGGTGTTCTTTTTGTGTACCTAGGAATTTCTTAGTATAAGCTCAATCACATGAAAATCATGCAAATTTAAGTCGACATTATCAGTTTTAGAAAGAAAATAAATATGATTTTGAACTTTAGCCTTCCAATCCGGGTTAACAGGTGGCTTCTTATTAAGAAGTCATTGTCTCAATATAATGCTAATTTGTATCTGTGAGAGAATCTTTGCGTAGTGCACGAAAGTTTTTTGAACAAGTGTAAACATGCCATAGTCAGGATGTATGTATATTATATA